TTCTGTGACGGGTTCTCCTGCCACCCAGCCGGTGCCAGCGCTGCCACGGTGGTCAAGGGGTCGCCTTGTGCGCAGCGTCCTTTGGAGATACCCGGCCTCCAGGGTCTTTGGCGTCCATGCCTGGACCAGAGTATTCGAGGGGAGGTGCTGCGTCAGCCCCAGGCCCATCTCCCAGCCGGCCAGCCTCGTCCTCCTCCAGGAACCCATGATGTCCCTCTGGGGAAGCCCCCAGCCAGAGATGGCCAGATCCGCAGCCTGCGTGAAGAGCTCTGGGAGGCCTGTCCCGTCCTCCTTTAAACCATCCAACTTGGGAGCCGTATTGGTTGGCCTACCCGCCCCCCAGCAAAGCCCTCATGTGGCTTGCTGGATTACAAATCGCACTTGGTTGACCTCAAGCCCCAACACTGTGACCCAGGAAGGGTTCTGACAGCCAGAGGCCACCGTTCTTATTTTGGACGGTCAAAGGCTGCAATGGATGAGTGGCCTCGGGGTTGGAGGAGAATTGAAGCCTTGCTTTACAATGCTTTGCGTTTCCCGCCACAACATGGCAGGTCCAGGCTCCCAGTGAACCAGCAAGGTGGAAGGGCGTTAGGGTGTTAGCAAAGAGAGCGCCCATCCAGAAGTTGTGGACTGCACAAAAGTAGAGCCCCTGGAAAGAAGAAGATCACCGAGATGCTGGGAGGGGTCCTCAGGAGCAGCCCAGAGCGGTTCAAGAGAGAGCAAGAGAAGGACACCTGACAAGACCTGAGGGGATAGACGACAACCCCCTACCCCTCAACAAACCTCAGACCGCCTGCTTCCTCCAAAGACAGGGATTATTGGGTCAAGAGTATCTCCCACAAGGATGTGAGGAGGAGAGCATGACCCAGAGTCAACTAGTTGTAAGGGCAATGAACAAGTTCTGTAAGTATATCTTAAACTTGGCACAGGACCACCCAAGTGTACACATGGGGGTGGCTCAAACCAAGGAGTAGGTAAGGCAGTTTTTTTACTGGACTAAATAGGGATGTGACTGTGCAAAAAAATTGTGACATTTGCCAAAGGGGGGCAAAGACAGTGAGGACAAAGTGGAAACACTGTACAGCCCTTGCCTGTTATGGAAATAGCCTTCTAGAACAGTGTTCCTCAACCTTGGGAACTTTAAGATGGGTGGACCTCAATACCCATAATTCCCCAGCCAGCATGGGTGTTGAAGTCCACCCATCTTAAAGTTCCCGAGGTTGAGGAACACTGTTGTAGAGAGTTGCAAGAGACATCTGGGGACCGATCAAGCCAGGATTCATCTCAAGAGGAAGCAGTATGTCTTAATACTTATGGACTAGGTCATCAGATGCAATTCAAGTAAGACCACACGTGTGAAGCCCCTTAAATGCAGAGCACAATCAAAGAAGCAAAATTCATAGAGATTTCATTTAATGAGTTTTAGGGCCAAGAGTTAGGTGTTAAGAAAACACAACCTTGAGAACTGAGATAAGGACCCTCCAGCCTTCATTTATTAGTGCATTCAATAAGATGTGGTCTCTTTGAAGATTTTGAATCTCTTATTCCCAGAATATTTGCACCAATATTTATCAATCATCCTTACCAATCACCAACCCAATGAGAGAAATACTGTTCTCTGTGGACTTTTGGGAGCTAAATTAAAAACAAAGCCTTCCAATTGCCATCTGTCTGGACCCCTGTGCTTCCAGACTGATGGCATTGTATAATCGATGGAACCCAGAGTGCACCAACCCTCTGGCTGGGCAGATACTATGGGAGACAGGCAGTCCCTCAAAGTAACCAGGCCCAATACCACGTAGAGCTTTATAAGTGGTGACCAACACTTTGAATCACACCTGGAAGCAAACCAGCAGCCAGTGCAGCTCGCAAAGCAGAGATGTTACATGGGCATACGGAGGTGTGCCCATCACTGCATGCGGCGCTCCATTCTGGACCAGCTGAATTTTCCAAGTGGTCTTCAAGGGCAGCCCCATTTAGGGCAGGTGGCAGTAGTCAAGCAACTAGAGCATGAGTGCCTGTCCGAAGGCCCCCCGAGATAAAGAGAAGTCAACATTTACCGTGTACCACAGATGTTGGAATTTAATGTGCTCCCCTTTGGTCTTTAGAATGCTCCCACAACCTTCCAAAGATTGGTCAATGAGCCACTTGGGGAATTAAATGACAGCATGGAATATTAGCCTTCTGTGGAGTTGGGAAGACCCAAGTTTTCTTCCGTGCATCGGACGAACGTGTTAGATGAGCCATTTCCGTTATGAGAGTGAGTCTTTGCTACGTCCAACCTTGGCTATGTGTTGATCGTGTTTTGCTATATTGGTTTTCTGTTGTATTAATTTCTGACTCGACTGGGTTTTGTTTTGTTCTTAATTTTTACTGAATACCTTGCCCAGAGTCACACATTGTGAATGAGGCAGTTTTATAAATTCTATAAATAAGTATTTTGATGGCATGCCCATCTTTTCAAACATCTGGAAGCAGGACCTGGAACGACTGGAAGCGGTCTTCTGATGCACCGAAGAGGCTGGGCTCACCATCAAGGACAAGAGAGGTCCATTTGAACTAAATCAGGTAGTCTTCATGGGACATGGGTGGGCGACAGAACTGTATCTCCTCTTGAAACCAAGATGCACGCTATTGGGGAATGGCCTGTCCTCGTAAAGGAAACCTAGACACAATCATTCCTGGGCCTGGCCAGTTATTAATAGACAATATCCTAAGCAATACCCTGACCAAGGAACTACCGGGGGGCGGGGGGGACACCAACATGGGCAGGGCAACCCACTGTATATAAACAGAGCAAACCCCACTCCATTTTAGCACTGAAGATCTTACCTAGCTGGGTAATGAAACGTTTGCAAGAAAACAACCAAGCTCAAAGAACCTCAAGGACCCCACAGTTATTAATAGAGGTTTGTACCTGTGTCAGAACACATAGGACTGAAAATAAACAGCCAAGAAAAAATACCTCTGAGTTCTGATTAGTAAGATTTATTGAGAAAAAGATTAAGGTGACAGCACAAGAATTCTGACCAGGACTTTAGCTTTCAAATGAGAGCCTTATATATTAAAAGTATATTAGCAATTAGGACAGTCTCTCTCAGCCTTGACAGCTTTCAGAGGTGTGGACTTCAACTCCCAGAATTCCCCAGCCAGCAAGAATTCTGGGAGTT